TACTATCATCCTCAGGATTATTTTCTTTCTCTTCTTGTCTAATTGCAGCAATGATTTATTCTTTGGTTAAACTAAACATGATTTGTTGCTCATTTGGATGATCGAAGAAGACATTAATATCCATTCAATTAGTGCAGTGAAGTTGTCGAATCTGATCCCTCAATTCTACAATGACTTTTATTCTCCTCATTCACTTCATTTGTAACTTGCAATTCATCGACATTGGGGGTCCTAATTTTGTAATGCTTAAAACCATTGGCAATTATCTGTGGCTTCACATCAATTGACCATGCATCAACTGCATTTACAATTTCATCAATGACACTTATCTTTGCTTGTTCTAAGATACGATCTTCTATCGGTTTCAAAAGTAGGCAATTAAAGTGCTGAATTGAAATCCTAAAACTACTACAATATGAATTGAAATCCTAATACTATACTACTAAAGCATGAATTATAAAATAAAAAATCAAACCAATAATTTTTATAATTACACCTTTATTAAGTTATAACCTCCTTATAGTAATAAAATTGGTTAGTTCCACTATTATAACTATAGAGAAGTTTTACTATATATATATATATATATATAAGGTCTTGACAAATTAATTCCAAGATGTCTTGACTAAGAAATATTTCATTAAGAGATGGAAAGAATAGCATGAAAATGTTAAAGAAAGTTTCTCTAACCAATAAAGAGGCATGCATTTCAAGGAAGGTAATTTATGCATTGCGAGGAGACTTTGACATCTTTCACAATCACTTATTTTAAGTGCTATGAGATTTTTCAAGACGGAAAGCCAATTAGGAATCGTCATGCCTAGAAAATAAAATATACCAAGTTGCCTTAGATTTTGAAATGGTTAAAGGCTTTCTAGTACCTGCTCATTCAGACTGTGGTAACCACCCTGATGAGACAATGGAGGGGCACTTTTATTATCTAGCCAAGAAAGTCTACAGTAACACATAGGTATTATTGACTTGGTACCACGAGATAATACATGCATGTCAAGTAATAACAACCAATCACAATTAATTTGAAGCTAGAAGAAATAAACAAAAATTCACAAGTGGCATAAATCCATTGGATGGTGGTAATACCTCTATTGTATTCTAGGTTTTTCTATCAAGCATCTTCCAATTCAATTCTAGGAAGTTACATGTTGCTTAGCTTTTAAATCGGCCAACGTGGCTTCTAAGGTGATATTTTTCAATCCTTGAATTTGTAAAGCTTATCCATTTCACTTAGATTAACATTTTTCCTACTCTTCTCATTTAATACAAACTTGGATAAAGTTCAAAGGCTAGTCAACAACTTCAGTCCACGTGTCATTCCAATCAAGGAATTACATTCATTATTCATAATACATCTAAGGCTCACTATTTTTTTAATATTTCTTGGTCGCTTTTTCGGGAACTCACAAATGATTAAGCATTAGTATTTGCAAATTTTTTAGTATTTTTACTGAATTAGGAAGTCTTTCAAGACTCTTATTATTAGATTCACGAAATATGAAATTTAATACATTTATTATTGATTTCCCTTAATCTCTGCTGATTGAGATTAAGGAGTGATTAAGGCTTCAATCAATCACCTAAATTTATGTGATTGATTGAACTACAGGGATCTGTATTTATTTCTTTCTTATTTTACATTTACAGAACTTGTATAAATTAGCCATTATACAGGTTTACAATACAATATATATAGAAATATACATAAATTTTTATCTCCCTTTTCTTTCTCTTTGGCATACTCTAGCAGTATCATTGTCTTGAACTACTCCTCTTTTGTCTCTGTTTCTCCATTACTTACATGGTATTAGAGCATTACTAAAAGCTTCCGCTTACAATTCAACCTACCTCTCATTCTGTTCCTGAAACAAAACGGATACTCGATTAGAGCCAATCACCTTAGCTCCTCATTTGTCCCTGAAAACAAACAGCAAACACTTTATTAGAAGTCCAGAATCGAGATCAACCCAACAAATACAGAAAACCCAGACGGCCCAACCAATACAATCAACCTACACAACTCAAGCCTATTTTGCTTTATTTTCCTTTTTTTCCAATCAATAAGATGATTGGATTCGTCCGATCTGATCCAGAATCAGAATATGCTCCGTTTCATTGGCATTGACCAAAACAAATGCTAGTGATAAATTCAATCAAACGGTTTAAAAGAGATCATTCATCATTTGGTCATCAAGTTCTAATATATTATTGTAGACACAAAACAAAAACGTGTGGACCACCTATTCTATTTGAAACATAAATCTAATTTTGTAAGTATAATATATTATTGAATATTTTCTTAATGTTAATAATAGAAAATTTTAGAAAATTATGAAGATAAACATCATTTATATCACAAATTAACATATTATTATTTCACTTATCATTGATTGAAAATTCTATGAAATTGCATTAATTTGACTATTTGTGTTTGTTATTCTATTTAATTATAGTTATTGATTTATAGATCTCATTTGGATTGAGAGATTCTAAATAAATGATTTTGTTAAATCCATGGATTTTGGCAATTCCATCACCCTCTAGAATCTTTCATTTTTTAGGGTGTGGGATTTTGCCAAATCCATCAATTTTAATAAAATGGGAGACTTTGTAATATTTTAATTTTCCAATAATACCATTATTAATAATTTAATATCCTAATATCTACCTTTTACCTTAATTAAAAGAAATATATTTTTCGTTTTTTCTTTTTGAGCTCTCTACCTTTACATGGAATTCTTGTTTTTAACTGGGAATTCTTTTTTTTTTTTTTTAACCAAATCACAAAAAATAATTTATTATAATTGGACTTCTTTATCAAATATAATTTAACTTGTATTTAATTAGATAAAAATTGAATTTTTGTTGGTTTTGGATATTGAGGGTAAAGTTGAAAATTATTTATCAAATCTATGAATTGTATCCGTCTAACCAAACATAAGTGCATGAAATTTAAATCAATAATTCATGAATTTTATATTTAAATCAAACAATAAAATTTATCAAATACATGGATTTTGAATTCATGAATTGTACAAAATACATGGATTTTAAAATCGTTCAATCTAAACGAGGTCATAATTTTTTGCTTAGATATACTAAAAGTACTATATTGAAGAACCATTTTTATTTTATTTATAAATTTCTTCTTAATATATATGAAAAACTAAATCTTAATGTTGGATTAATGGTGGTTTTTAGGAAAAGTGCTTCTTGAATGAAAGTGCTTCCATAAAAGCTGAAACCCTGCAAAATGAAATGCTATATTCGACAAATATGAAGAAATATGGTGGTTTTTGGCAAAGTGAAAAATCCGACAAATATGAAGAAATAGATATTAAGGCGTGAGGCAATGACACGTGGTAGACACTAATTTTTATAAGTTTCAACATAATAGTATTAAATGATGCTGATACTCTCCTTTCCACCCAACAGGTGCCCCATTCACAACAACTTCCACCACCCATCTTAATACACGGATCTGCATCCAAAAATTCAATCACTAATTAAACACTATCAAATTAAAGTTAAAAAAAAAACCCAATTTAAAAACAGCCAAAAATCACCACCAAAATAATCACCATCAACAAACCCAAATATGCACAAACCTATAAACTGAAATCTAGAACAAACTCTAAGTACCATAACAGAAGGGAAAGAAAGGAAGCAACATCAATCTAGGTGAACACGGTTGGAATCGATTCATTTAGATTTCATCAAGATCATGTTTAATTTCTATTAGATTCATCTTATTGAATTGATATGATATTTTACAATTAAGATGTAATAATATATAGAGAGAAAATCACTTTGGCCCCGACCCCCTAGTTTCGATCAATTTGAGTTTGTAGGGAACTATGCATTTTTTTTCTCACAAAGATCTACCAAAACTATAGGGGGCAAAGTGATTTTCTCTCATAATATATATAAGGTCTTGACAAATTAATTCCAAAACTATAGGTGGCAAAGTGATTAGAGAAATATTTCATTAAGAGAGGGAAAGAATAGCATGAAATTATTAAGAAAGTTTCTCTAACCAATAAAGAGGCAGGCATTTCAAGGAAGATAATTTACGCAATGCGGGGAGACTTTGACATCTTTCACAATCACTTATTTTAAGTGCTATGAGATTTTTCAAGACAGAAAGCCGATTAGGAATCGTCACGCCTAGAAAATAAAATATACCAAGTTGCCTTAGATTTTGAAATGATTAAAGGCTTTCTAGCACTTGCTCATTCAGACTGTGGTAACCACCTTGATGAGACAATGGAGGGGCACTTGTATTATCTAGCCAAGAAAGTCTACATTAACACATAGGTATTATTGACGTGGTACCACGAGATAATACATGCATGTCAGCCAATCACAATTAATTTGAAGCTAGAAGAAATAAAAAAAAAAATTCACAAGTGGCATAAATCCATTGGATGGTGGTAATACCTCCATTGTATTCTAGATTTTTCAATTCAATTCTAGGAAGTTACATGTTGCTTAGCTTTTAAATCGGCCAACGTGGCTTCCAAGGTGATATTTTTCAATCCTTGAATTTGTAATTTTACCCTCAAGTTGTTTAGCTTATCCATTTCACTTAGATTAACATTTTTCCTACTCTTCTCATCTAATACAAACTTGGATAAAGTTCAAAGGCTAGTCAACAACTTCAGCCCACGTGACATTCCAATCAAGTAATTACATTCATTATTCATAATACATCTAAGGCTCACAATTTTTTTAATATTTCTTGGTTGCTTCTTTGGGAACTCACAAATGATTAAGCATTAGTATTTGCAAATTTTTTAGTATTTTTATTGAATTAGAGAGTCTTTCAAGACTCCTATTATTAGATTTATGAAATATGAAAGACTCCTATTATTAGATTCACGAAATATGGAATGCAATACATTTATTATTGATTTTCCTTTATCTCTGCTGGTTGAGATTAAGAAGTGATTAAGGCTTCAATCAATCACCTTAATTTATGTGATTGATTGAATTAAAGGGATTTGTATTTATATCTTTCTTAATTTACATTTACAGAACTTGTATAAATTAGCCATTGTACAGGCTTACAATACAGTATATATAGAAATATACATAACTTCTTCTCTCTTCTTTTCTTTCTCTTTGGCATACTCTGGCAGTATCATTGTCTTGAACTGCTCCTCTTTGCCTCTCTTTCTCGATTACTTACATGATATTAGAGCATTACTAAAAGCTTCCGCTTACAATTCAACCTAGCCTCTCATTCTGTTCCCGAAACTAGAAGGATACTCAGTTAGAGCCAATCACCTCAACCCCTTATTTGTCCTTGAAAACAAACAGCAAACACTTTATTCAGAAATCCAGAATCAAGATCAACCCTACAAATACAAAAAACTCAGACGGCCCAACCAATACAATCAACCTAAACAACTCAAGCTAAAACACTTAATCTAGGCCTGCAAACCCACACAAATTGAGGGTGGGGCATGACCCACCCAAACCCAAAAAGTGGCTGGATCCGCCACTGCTCTTTCCCTTCCTCCTTTTCTTTGGTGCTGAAATTTGTGTGGATTCTTCCTTCTCAGCTTTTTCATAGGATATATTAACCCCGCACTTTTTCACCTCGCAGTATTTTAGATTTTCATAAAGACAATGAAAATGCAAAAAAACGGAGGCATTCCCTAGTTCATTCCACGCATGTTCATCTCCTTGTTTTTCCACGGACATACCCATCACGCATACATGATCTAGTGGAATGTAGTGCTTTTCCACGTGAGAGTGGAAATGGTAATGCCAGTACTCGTCAAATAACTCAGAATCAAGGAGAGGTGGACCATGATCAACAGGATGATGTGGATTTACAACAAAGCACACATCAAAGACTATTGATTTATAGTTCGTAAGATCTGGTAGTAGCTTGATTATCATAGAAGATCCCATATTTTGATAGCTATACCAATTTGGAATTTCATTTCCAGGGAAACAACCTTGCAAGAATGGTGCTGAATGCTTCCGCCTCTGCACCAAGAAAGTCACTACTTTTAAAAGAGAAGTAGGGCAACAATTAAATTATATAATACCCAAAATAAGAAAGAAAATTATTCCTCAACCTAAAACTACCTCAAAAATAAAGTTCATTTTTAAATAGCCTTTTTAACTTGGAACATAGACGGTGATTCGGTGAAAAGCACCGTCTCCTTTTAAGGAGTTTTTTTTTTTTTTTTTTTTCTCTTCAGTCAGGATACTCATCCCTCAAATTCATATTCCAAATGATGTGCCGTTATATGGGTATTGCCAAATCATTCATACATCATTTTTTTTTTTTTTTTTTTTTTTTTATGTGTCAATGTCATATGTATTGACACATCACTTGAGATATGAATATTTTAGTAGTACTATTGTATTTTTCACTTTAGGATTTTGTTTCTAATCCAAAAATAATAAAATATCAAATTAGATTAACTTTAAAAAATTTTAAAATATATATTATGTAAAGGAGAGAAAAAGATCTACAGACCTCAGCATATAATTCCAGAGCATTTTCCACGTTGGCTTTGAGCACATTCCTATCCAGTTTGTGACAATTGGCAAGCCTGATAGTTGTTCTCCTTAACAAAGGAACACGTAATGCCTCTAATGATGTGCAATTATCTGCATACAAATTATAAAGACCTGGAAGCTCTGGCAAGGATCGAAGCCTTTGGCAATTACGTGCGTGTAAAGTAACCAAATTAGAAAGCTCTGGCAAGGATCGAAGCCTTTGGCAATTACTTACGTCCAATTCAACCAAATTAGAAAGCTCTGGCAAGGATCGAAGCCTTTGGCAATTACATACGTGCAAAGTAACCAAATTAGAAAGCTTTTCGATGCCTGGTATTAACTCAAAATTTTGTCCGACAAGAAATAATTTTCTTAGAAAGGATAATTGGCTGAGATTACCAAATGACTTAGGGATTTGACAACTAGATAGATCTAGAGACTCAAGAGACTTCAAACCTGATAAAAAAAAAAAAAAAAAGCAATACAAATTAGAAAGGTCTATTCAAATGTATTCATCATAATGGCAGTATCATTAGATTTGAGTATGATCAACTTACAACTGGTGTTAGGAAAACTCTTGAGGCTTTTACAACCTCGAAGATTGATTATAGCAAGCTTCTCGAGATATTTTTTAGATGAAAAAACCTTAATCAAACTTGTACAACCTTCTAGAATCAAACTCTGAACATTTGGGATCATTGAGAGGTCTTGGATTCTGGTTAGGAGCTTTGAGTTGCTGAGATTAATGTGTTTCAATTTATCATATTGCTACAAGAAAAAAAAAAAATTAATCGTATTATAATTTTCAATAAAAAAAAAAAAAGAATATTCAAGGTATATATGTACCTGGACAAAATTCAAAATTTTAATCTTGCTACATGGCATGACAAGTGAAACAAGATTCTCTACATCAAAAGTTGATGGCAATGATGGCAACGGATATCCATACCAACAGAAGTACCTTAGTTCAAAAAGAACAAATTCAAGATCTTCAGAAGGATGAACCTTATTATCAATCTCCCCTTCTTTGCATATGTAGCCACCTTTACAGTGTGAGTTGTAAAAGTTGCATGAGCAACCAATATCGCAATAAAAATCCAAGAATCTGAGGTTATGCATGTTTGAGAAAGCGTGGGGATGTAACTTGAAAGGTTTTGCTTTTGACATTTCCAAACGAATGCATTCAATTGCTCCAGTCCCCTAGTGATCAAGAAGTGACAGTAAGTTAGCATCCCATGTGTAATAAGTCTCAATTACTTTTCTCAACTTTCTTATGCTAATATTTAAATATAGTACCTTACTGGGAAAGGGATAAAAGGGTATATACATGCAAGAACAACACATAATGCACATTAAAAAATTTAAAAAATAAAAAATAAGTGAACAAATATGTGTACGAAAAGTTAATGAGGTGATCTCTCACCATGTTTGTCTTCAATACACGATTGATATCTTCACGATGCCATAACCTACTGCGCTTGCCAAGATTTTTTGATTCTTTGGAGACAATTTTCCTCCCCATTTCTTGTAATAAATCATGCATTATTATCTTGTCATTTTCTGGTTGAGTTATGAGAGATTTATCAATGAGAGCACTTACTCCACTCTTTGCAGCAAACCCATTGTCATCTAGGATTTTCATCACAAAATTCTTATCATCTCCATTAAAGAAACATGCAATATCTAGAAATATATTTTTATGTTCATCATCTAATCCATCGTAACTTATTTTCAGCACATCTTCGATCTTCGGATTCGAAATTCTTTCAAGCTTATTCAATTCATCTTCCCATTCTGATTTTGTCTTCTCAAATAGCAAACCACCCAAAGTTTTAAGAGCTAATGGAATGCCTTTAGCAAATGTTAATGCCAATTCAGATAGCTCCATGTAACCTGCAGTGGGTTGATTTTGTTTGAAGGCATGTCGACAAAAAAGTTCAAGAGCCTCATAATATGATAACTCCTTAACCTTGTATATGTAATCCTGCTCCACTCCACAAGTTTTAAGCACTTGTTTATCTCTTGATGTTATGATGATACGACTTCCAGAACCAAAACAATCACCAGTAAACTTTTCTATTTGCTCAAAACATGTTACATCATCAAAACAAATAAGAATCTTCATACTGCAAAGTCTCCTTTTTGTGAAGATGAAATCTAAATTGGCATCTTTATCATCTACTATTGCAAAAAGAACTTTCTGACTCAAATAAGTTAATTCACTTTTTTCACATTCTTTTCGGACATTATCTTGGAAGTGTGCCTTTTCAAATTGACTTGAGATTCTGTTGAATATTGCACGAGCAAGAGTTGTCTTGCCTATTCCACCCATTCCCCAAATCCCAATACTACTTGAAACATCTTTTAACCCAAGACATAATAGCGATTCAACTTCCTCTATTTTTGATTCTACTCCAATGAGGTTCTCGTTGTCACTTGGGGACATTTGGTTCAGTTTATTCAAAATATAGCTGACAATTTCCTCTACCAATGTAGAGTCAGGCCTAGCAAGATATAAAACAGTTTATTCATAAGTTTAATTAAATCAAAGGAGAAACAATAATGCACTTTAATTACAATATCTATGCTAACAAAGTTTTCGTAATTAAGTGATTATTAAAATATATAACAGTTGCCTAATGTACTTAATCTTCCATTGCGCCTTGTGAAACAACAAACAGAGAGTAAAACCCATAGTTGCTAATAAAAAAAAAATAATAACTATTAATCAAAATGTGCAAATGCTTTACATCTGACCAAATTCTCTAAGTTGTGCTCAAACCGTTCTTCATGCTTCACAAATTCTACATTTCTACTCCAAGCATCTCAGTTTGCTTCCTTGTATCTGATGGACTAATATTATTGTTTAATTTCTATATTAATTTCTAACTAATTGCACCTGAATTTTTATTTTTTTTTTATTTTTCTTTTTGTTTCTTCACGCGCTATATTATTTTCTACTAATGTTTTTTTAATTACAATTACAATATCTTACTCCAAGGAAACCTTGCTAATTAAAAGATATATATATATATATATTACTAGGTTTATTTGATTAATTATATATATCAAATATCTAAAATTTATGGATATTTTTGTTAGTTCAGTATATAATAGATAAATTTATTTTCTCCAAATTAAGAAGATAAGTGTCTTCATCTATTCAACCAAACTTATATCCCTTTCAGTTTGACAACTACAAATAAATAAACAAGTAAATTAATATGTGCAACAACAATGAATTTCAATTAACAATTACCTAATGTCACTTGAATCAAATCCGGATAGATTAGCTGCTTTTGTCAAAGCATTCCTCCATCTCATCACCGTCTCTGAACTTTGCTTTTCTTTATGCCTCACAAATGCTTTTTCAAATGACCCTTTTTGGTTTCTTATATCAGACGGATCCGCATGATAAAAAACTGGTAGGATCAAATCTTCTGCTTTCTTGCCTTCAATGATTTTTGCAAGTTCTTCAAGGCACCATCTAGACGTGGCATACCCTTTCGAGAATATAATAACAGCAATCTTTGATTCTTCAATTGCATTCAAAAGTGCTTGTGAAATTTCATCTCCTCTTTCGAGATCATAACTATCAATGAACGTCTTGATTTTCTTTGAATACAATGCTGCATAGAGATGGCTTGTAAAATTTTCACGTGTATCCTCCCCCCTAAAACTAAGAAAAACATCATATTTTTCATAAACTCTAGAAGAAGAAGAAGAAGATGATGATGATGATGCCATTAATAAACTTTAACACTTGATGAAAGACTCCTCAAACTCTTAAAATGTAAGCAATGCAAAAGATATCAAGAACCCAACTCAAAATTTCATGAACTTCACAAGAAGTTTTGTGCAAATTTTGAGTTATTTCTCTGCTTTTATCCCCCGATTTCTATTTTTTTCTCCTGTTTCCTTGAAGTTTCTTTGTGTATGAAAAGGGATTCAATAATTTAAAGACACTTTAAAATATATTATAACTGCGTTTTTACTGTTATAAACGTAAAACTATAAATTTTAGTTAATAGTATTAATATGAAAAATGTTTCTTTTCTTCAATAATGGAATTGATCGAGTAATAATACTGAATGGTAGATTATAAATAAAAATAACGAAAATAAAACATAAAAAAGTAATCCCATTCATACGAAAGGACACGCATTTGCACAAAACTTTTTGACTCTTGCTTTAGTAATTGGCACCGAAAGCTGGCCACTTTGATGAACCTTCCGAGAACTTATGGCACTTAAACTTTTTGACTTTTGACTAAAAAGAAATCATGGTGTCTCTTATAATGGTTTTCATTTTCTCATTTTCTCCAAAGTAGCTTGCCACTTTGATGAACCTTCGTGGCAGTCTCTATTTTGGTCTTTTGTTCACACCTTGTGCAGTCACTGGTTGGGAAGAAAATGCGAAAAGAAAGAAGAGGAAATTGAGAGGATTATCAGTGAGAAAAGTTAGAAACAAATTTGAAGGACTTTATCATAAAGCCTATTTGGCTTTATTTTCCCTTTTTCCAATCAATAAGATGATTGGATTGGTTGGATATGATCCAGAATCAGAATATGCTCCGTTTCATTGGCATTGACCAAAACAAATGCTAGTGATAAATTCAATCAAACGGTTTAAAAGAGATCATTCATCATTTGATCATCAAGTTCTAATATATTATTGTAGACACAAAACAAAAACGTGTGGACCACCTATTCTATTTGAAACATAAATCTGATTTTGTAAATATAATATATTATTGAATATTTTTTAATGTTAATAATAGAAAATTAGGAAGATAAACATCATTTATATCACAAATTAACATATTATTATTTCACTTATCATTGATTGAAAATTCTATGAAATTGCATTACTTTGACTATTTGTGTTTGTTATTCTATTTAATTATAGTTATTAATTTATAGATCTCTTTTGGATTGAGAGATTCTAAATAAATGATTTTGTTAAATCCATGGATTTGGTAAAATCCTTTGTTTGGTTTAAAAAAAAAAAAAGGGTTGAAATCCATGGATTTTGGCAATTCCATCACCCTCTAGAATCTTTCATTTTTTAGGGTTTTAAAATCCCATTTGGTAGGTGAGATTTTGCCAAATCCATCAATTTTAATAAAATGGGGGACTTAGTAATATTTTAATTTTCCAATAATACCATTATTAATAATTTAATATCCTAATATCTATCTTTTACCTTAATTAAAAAAAATATATTTATCGTTTTCTCGTTTTGAGCTCTCCACCTTTACATGGAATTCTTGTTTTTAACTTGGAATTCTTTTTTTTTTTTTTTTTACCAAATCACAAAAAATAATTTATTATAATTGGATTTCTCTATCAAATAATATTAAAATTGTATTTAATTAGATGAAAGTTGAATTTTTATTGGTTTTGGATATTGAGAGTAAAGTTAAAAATTATTTATCAAATCCATGGATTGTATCCATCTAACCAAACATAAGTGTATGGAAATTTGAATCAATAATTCATGAATTTTATATTTAAAACAAACAATAAAATTTATCAAAAAACCCGGATTTTGAATCCATGAATTGTACAAAATCCATGGATTTTAAAATCTTTCAATCCAAAATGAGGTCATAATTTTTTGCTTAGATATACTAAAAGTATTATGTTGAAGAACCATTTTTATTTTATTTATAATTTTCTTCTTAACGTATAAGTAAAACTAAATCTTAATGTTGGATTAATGGTGAGTCTTATAGGAAAAGTGCTTCTTGAATGAAAGTGCTTCCATAAAAGCTGAAACCCTAAAAAATGAAATGCTACATTCGTTTTTGGCAAAGTGAAAAAGCCGACAAATATGAAGAAATAGATATTAAGGTGTGAGGCAATGACACGTGGTAGCCACTAATTTTTATCAATAATGTTATGCTTACTTATGAATTTACTAACCGTCTTACTCACCGTTGTAAATATAAAGCATAGTACAGATACCATAAAAATAGTACGGATACCATATGTAATTTAAACAAATGTGAGTAAGATGGTTAGTAAGTTCGTAAGTAAGTATAGCATTATTGAATTTTTATTAGTTGTAACATAATAGTATTAAATGATGCTAATGCTCTTCTTTACACCCAACTGGGGTTCCATTAACAACAACTTCCACCACTCATCGAATACACGGATCTTCATTCAAAAATTCAATCACTAATTAAACACTATCAAATTAAAGTAAAAAAAACCCAATTTAAAAACTACCAAAATAATCATCATCAACAAACCCAAATATGCACAAACCTATAAACTGAAATCCAAAACAAACTCTAAGTGCCATAACAGAAGGGAAAGAAAGGAAGCAACATCAATCTAGATGTGATAATATATAGAGAGAAAATCACTTTGGCCCCCAGCCCCTAGTTTCGATTAATTTGTGTTTGTAGGGAACTATGCCGATTTTCATCAAAGTATCCCCAATAGTTTCATGAATGCTGCAAACGAGAACCAAAACAGTGACGTCGTCTGAACTCTATTAGGCTATCAAGGGTAAAGTCGTCTTTTCAATTTTTTTTGTTTTTATTCAATATAAGATATAATTTTTTTCTTCGCCTCCCCTCCCTTTCTTTCTTCTTTCTCATTTTCTTCCCCACTCTACATCCACACTTATTCCCTTTCTGCAATCCTCTTTTCGTTTTCATTTTCTGTACCAATAAACCCAATTAAAACTCTAATACAAATCAAATCAAAACCTAATCAAAGTACAAATCAAACCCTAGATCTAACACCCAATCACAAATCAAGCAAAAATCAAATTGTGTACCAAAAAATACAAAAAACAAATCCAAATCTTGAACCATGAGCAGTGGAAGAAGAAGTTGTGGAAGTGGAAAGAAATAGAGAAAAGAAAACAAAGAAAAGGCAAGAAAAAAAAGAGGCTGCACAGAACAAGAAGATGAGATAGTGAAAAGAATTAAAGAAATAAAGAAATAAGAGATAATGGAAGGAAACAAAGAAAATAAAATAAAAGGTGCTTTATGCATTAATCCATTCACATAAAGACAAAGTAAGGTTAATTTGGTCTTTTACTCGATGCTGCATGAACAGTTAACGGAAGTTCAGAGAGCATTACAGTTTTGGTCCCCGTTTGATGCCTTTATGTGTGTGTGTGTGTGTTTTGACAAATTAATTCCAAGACGTCTTGACTAAGAAATATTTCATTAAGAGATGGAAAGAATAGCATGAAAATGTTAAGAAAGTTTATCTAACCAATAAAGAGGCAAGCATTTCAAGGAACGTAATTTACGCAATGCGAGGAGACTGACATCTTTCACAATCACTTATTTTAAGTGCTATGAGATTTTTCAAGACGCAAAGCCAATTAGGAACCATCACGCCTAGAAAATAAAATATACCAAGTTGCCTTAGATTTTGAAATGGTTAAGGGCATTCTAGCACGAAAAATACTATATTCACCGAAAAAATTGCACCGAAAAATTGTACCGAAACAGGTGGAGCTTCTTTTCTCTGCCAGGTGGAGCTTTCGCACAACCCATGTATAATTTGTACATAAACAGCATGCCAGATTCTTTACTAGTTTTTAGAAAAAAGAAAAAAAAAAAAAGGAAAAGGAAAAGGCAAAAAGAGTTGGCGACATGTTCCCAGCCAAAAGAAAAAAGAGTTAATTAAGTATGGACGCCCGTCCATTAAATATGGACGGGCGTCACGGCCGTCCATTCCTTATGGACTGGCGTCCATTAGAGTAGGGACGCCCGTCCATTCCTTATGGACGGGCGTCCATTCTAGATTTTTTTTTAAAAAAAATTTCCATATTTATTTTAAAATTTAAATTTTTTTTTTTTCCATACTTAATAGACGGTCGTCCATTCTTTAAGGACGGACGTCCATTAGAGTAGGGACGCCCGTCTATTCCTTATGGACGGGCGTCCATTACATATGGACGCCCGTCCATTCCAGATTTTTTTTTTAAATTTTTATATTTTAAAAAAAAATTAATAACGTTAAATGCTTGAATGGTCTAAGTCAGGAGACACGTAGGCCGGTACAAAATTTCGGTGTAAAAACCCCGGTGTCTGTAGCATTGTTGTTCTAGCACCTGCTTATTCAGACTGTGGTAACAACCCTGATGAGATAATGGAGGGGCACTTGTATTATCTAGCCAAGAAAGTCTACAGTAACACATAGGTATTTTGACGTGGTACCACAAGACAATACATGCATGTCAAGTAATAACAACCAATCACAATTAATTTGAAGCTAGAAGAAATTAAAAAAATTCACAAGTGGCATAAATCCATTGGATGGTGGTAATACCTCTATTGTGTTCTAGATTTTTCGATCAAGCATCTTCCATTTTAATTCTAGGAAGTTACATGTTGCTTAGCTTTTAAATCGGCCAACGTGGCTTCCAAGGTGATATTTTTCAGTCCTTGAATTTGTAATTTTACCCTCAAGTTGTTTAGGTTATCCATTTCACTTAGATTAACATTTTTCCTACTTTTCCCATCTAATACAAACTTGGATAAAGTTCAAAGGCTAGTCAACAACTTCAGTCCACGTGACATTCCAATCAAGGAATTACATTCATTATTCATAATACATTAAGGGCATCTCCAACCCACGCCAAAATGGCGTAAAAAACACCAAATTGGCGTGGTGCTACAATGCTGCGCCAAATTGGCGTGATACTGTAGCACCACGCCAAAATGGCGCAACACTGTAGTGCGAATAAATATATATATATAATATATATATATATATATATATATATATTTTTTTTTTTTTAATTTTGCTTTTTTTTTGTTTTTGTTTTAATTTTGTAAGTTAATTTGAGTATTAAATTTTACACCAAAAATCAACCAAATTTGAGATTTGTATTATTTAATTTGATTATTATTATAATAATGATATAATTTAAAAAATGATGAAAAATTAAAAATAGAACTTTATTCAATGCAAATATAAACTACAATAACTCAAAATAAAAATTAATACTAATTAAAAATACTAAAATAAAAAAAAATACAACATAAACTCAAATACAATTTAGTATTCCGGTAGATTAGTTTCGGATCCAGTAAGATCATCAAAATATTAAAAAGAACTAGAGTTATTTTGAGATCCTTGACCTTGTTGTTGAGTCTTTTTTGCATAATTCTTAATTGCTCATTTTGAAAAAACTCACGTAGGCTTGGATCGGTTATAGAATCAAATCCTTAGATATGGCATGCTTTTTTTTTTTTTGTGATTATTTTATATTAGAGTAATGTTTTTCTTATTAAATGTAATGTTATTTGATTAAAAATGCTTAATTTTATTAAATTAGTATAATTTTCAAAATAATTATTATTTAATAAAAATATCATTCCCAACATTTAATTGATATATACAAAAATAATGAGTGAAATAGATTAATTGTGATTATTACAATAAAAGAAAAAAAAAGAATATTCTAAAAAAATTCTAAGGAATATTCTTTTTAGTGTAATATTGGTGTTGTGGGTTGGAGATGGAATAGTGTTTTGCACCAAAATTTACACCAATTTGGTTCAATTTTGCACCAAAATTTTCACCAAATTGGTGCAATGGGTTGGAGATGGTCTAAGGCTCACAATTTTTTTAATATTTCTTGGTCGCTTCTTTGGGAACTCACAAATGATTAAGCATTAGTATTTGCAAATTTTTAGTATTTTTACTGAATTAGGGAGTCTTTCAGGACTCCTATTATTAGATTTAGGAAATATGAAAGACTCATATTATTAGATTCACGAAATATGGAATGCAATACATTTATTATTGATTTCCTTTATCTCTGCTGGTTGAGATTAAGGAGTGATTAAGGCTTCAATCAATCACCTTAATTTATGTGATTGATTGAATTACAGGGATTTGTATTTAGTCTTTCTTAATTTACATTTATAGAACTTCTGTAAATTAGCCATTGTACAGGCTTAAAACAATAATATAGAAATATACTAACTTTTCTCTCTTCTTTTCTTTCTCTTTGGCATACTCTGGCAGTATCATGTCTTGAACAGCTCCTCTTGCCTATCTTTATCGATTACTTACATGATATTAGAGCATTACTAAAAGCTTCCGCTTACAATTCAACCTAGCCTCTCATTCTGTTCCCGAAACCAGAAGGATACTCGGTTAGAGCCAATCACCTCAGCCCCTTATTTGTCCCTGAAAACAAACAGCAAACATTTTATTAGAAATCCAGAACGGAGATCAACCCAACAAATACAGAAAACCCAGACGACCCAACCAATACAATCAACCTACACAACTCAAGCTCGAACACTCAATCTAAGCCTGCTACAACCCACACAACTCAAACTAGGCCTGACCTAGCCCTTTGCCCATATGGAATGTCAGGTTATAACCTAGATTCTTTTACCCACACAACTCAAACCAGACCTAACCCAACCTCATTTGGAATACCGGGTTTCAATCCAGATTCTTTTCCTCAATCGGGTTTGGATCCAAATACGAATCCCTACATATACCCTTTTCGCATTGTGCCAGCCATCGGCAACAGTCGCCCTAAACCAGGTGACGTGCTCTTCTCACTAATCTCTGATGGACCAGAATTCATCAAACAAACCCTCACAGGATCCAATAATTATGCCTTTTGGTCTTGTGATTTCCAACGTGCCCTTATCACCAAAAACAAAGACCCTTTCCTTGGTGAAGCCTTCCAACCGCCACCACAACCATACCTTCAACACCACTGGAGCCATTGCAATATGTTGGTTCGGTCATGGATCAACAACTACCTTTCAATAGAGGTGGCAGAGGGGCTCCTACTGAAAAAAATGGCCATCGAGATTTTGCCAACATCAAGGAGATGTATGGGAAGTTGGATCTCACCAAAACATCTAACCTCCGACAACGCCTCATCGAACTCAAACAGGGAAAAACCTCGGTCACAACCTATTTCATTCGGCTCTCTGCCATTTGGAACGAGTTGGACGTCGTCAAGGAAACATTTGAACGGCCACCAGAAACCCTCTACCAGTATCAGAGAATCCGAGATCGTGACAAATTGTCGCATTTCTTACTCAGTTTGAATGAAGGTTTCCTTTCTTTCAAGACACAGATCTTGGCCACATCCCCACCACCCTCTCTCCATCAGAGTTTTCAACTAGTGGTGCAAGGTTGAGAGAAAATGGAGAGAGGTTGCGGCTAGGGAAAAATGAGGGTGAAAAATCCTCAAATTTATATGAAGAAATGAAGGGCCCAGATTCACTCTCTCGATCTGACGGCCAGAACTCATAGCGTTTTTAAATGCATCTAATGGCTCAAATTATGCCACATCACGGCATGGGTCAAACATGTCAACCTCTTGGTCAAACAAGTCAAATGGGTCTGGTAATGGGTCAAACAAGTCTGGAAATTCAAGATCCAATAGAGGGCGATCATATTGTGAATACTGCAAGAAAAGAAACCATGATCGAGAACATTGTTAGAAATTACATGGTCATCCTGATTCCAATAGCAAGGATAAAAATGGTAATTCTTCTTCTTTCCATGTTGATTCTCTTGCTTCTAGAAATCAGTCAACACCCATTCTCAATCCGAAACAATATAATCAGTTGCTTCAACTGCTGAACATTGTCCCGACTGCTCCCACCGCACCTTACTGCTTCAATTTAATTACAACTGATATGTGGCTTATTGATTCAAGGGCAAGTGATTACATAATTTGTCACCCAAAATCTTTTACCACTATTTCCACTACCTCATTCACTTCCGTTCATATGTCGAACAGGAATATAACACCAGCCACTCATATAGGGACTGTCCAATTATCTGTAACTTTATCCCTTAAAAATATGCTATGTGTCCCTACATTTCATTTTAACCTCATCTCAGTATCCAAAATTTGTGAAGACAATAGTTGCACTGTAAAATTGTCTTAACATATGTGAATTTTAGGACCCTTTGACTATGAAACTGATGGGCTTGTGTAAAGTTAATAGAGGTCTATGCTACTAGGTACCTGCTGAGTCTTCTAAAGTTTTTCTTACTTGTATTACAACCAATAAAATTTCCAATTGTAATACAATGATTAATAAAAATTCCTTTACTCTTCATCAAAGATTAGGTCATAGTGCAACTATCCCTCAACCTCAGTGTCCTATTTGTCCATTAGCTAAGCAAACCCAAATTAATTTTTCCACATAACACTTCCACTATGAGCCAACCTTTTGCCCTAATCCATCTTGATATTTGGGGCCCATATCACACCCCAAATCATGATGGATCCAGATTTTTCCTAACCATTGTTGATGACTTTTCCGAGGGTACATAGACATTCCTTATGCAATCCAAAACCCAAACACTTACTCATATTAATTTTTTTTTTATCCATGGTCACCACTCAATTTCGTACTTCCGTCCAAAGGGTTAGAATCGACAATGCTAGAGATTTTTTCAATCATAATTGTTCATCTATTTTTTTATCACTTGGCATACTGCATGAAAGTTCTTGCACATATACTCCACAACAAAATGGGGTTGTCGAAAGAAAACCCTGTCATCTGCTTGAAGTCATGTGCCCTCAAACACCAAGCCCATATACCCATCTCCTTTTGGGGTGACTGTGTGATCACATCCACATACGTGATCAATCGCATGCCAACCAAAGTTCTTCATGGCAAGACTCCTTATGAGGCATTATTCAAGAAACAACTAGCTCTTGACCACCTCCGACTATTTGGCTGTCTTTGTTATGTTGTCACCCTTGGCTCACATGACAAGTTTAGCATCTGAGCCACCCACTGTATTTTAATGGGATACAACATGCTCCAGAAGGGTTACATGCTATATGATCCAGTTGAAAATAGGTTCTTGATCTCTAGAGATGTTGTGTTTCATGAAGACATATTTCCATTTGCCACCAAAGATACTATTTCATCTACATCACACAAGCTAGCTCTTGAAGATAATACACTACTAGACCTTCTTTTCACTATGATACTTGCGCCTCCAGTTTCTCAACTCGACCCTCCTACCTCTGACTCTAACACAATAGCCACTAATGATCCTCCAGTAGAATCACCTATTAAGATTCCTACAGTTGTTTCCCTACCAGGATCCCGTGATCCAATTCCAATTGTCCTTACATGCCGCAGCACTCGACAGACTCGACTACCAATCTGGACAGCAGACTATAAGTGTCCCGCCATTTCAAATTCTTCAGGTACATTACATCCTACCTCCAATTATGTGAGCTATGATCGTCTCACTCTTGTACACAGAGCTTGTATTAGTCACATCTCTCCCAACCACGTACCAGTTACTCAAATGATGTTCAACACTCTCATTGGTGTCAAGCAATGGCTGATGAACTTATTGCTTTGACTCAAAATCATACTTGGGGTCTAGTGTCTCGTCCCTCTCATAAAAAACACATTGGCTGTAAATGGGTCTACAAAATCAACCATCGTGCTAATGGCTCCATTGCATGTTACAAAGCTCTATTGGTAGCCAAGGGATTTACTCAACATGATAGATTTTATTATCAAGAGATTTTCTCCCTTGCAGCCAAAAATGTCATTGTTCATGGTTTCCTTACAGTAGCTTCTTTTCGTGACTGGCCTCTCCATTAAATGGATGTTCATAATGCATTTCTTCATAGTGATCTACATGAGGAAATTTATATGGATCTTCCTCTTGAAATTTACAAACAGGGGGAGAACACAGTATGTCGTTTGCAAAAATCCCTTTATGGCCTAAAACAAGTATCCCGGCAATGGAATGAGAAATTCAGCCAAGCTCTCACCAACACAGGATTTTTTTAGTCCAAACATGACTATGCATTATTTACATGGCACAAATGTAAAACTTTCATTGCTCTAATCATCTAGTCGATCATATTCTTATTATAGGAAATAATGAAGCACGCATCAAATCCTTGAAAGAGCATCTCAATAGAACTTCCGAATAAAGGATCTAGAAAAGCCAAAATATTGGTTCATTGAAATTGCAAGATCCCCAATAGGAATATCTCTCAACCAACAGAAATATGTTCTGGAACTCATTTCTGATTCTGGGCTATCAGGATGCAAGCCAAGTATTATTCCAGTAGAACAAAAACACCAAATTGACTACTCAAGAATATGACAGTGGGATATCATCCTCTGAAGATGATCTACCTCTAGAAGACCCCTCAAAGTATTAGAGACTTGTTCGGCGATTGATCTACCTTACCATGACTTGTCCACACATCAGTTATGCAGTCTACATTCTTAGTCAGTTCATGCATGGACCTAAATGATCTCACTTGGATGCAACGTTAAAGGTTCTGAAATACTTAAAAGGGTGTCCTGGTTTAGGACTTCTTCTTCCTCGAGACAAGGGTTTGGACATCACAACTCATTGTGACTCAGACTAGGCCACATGTCTGATGACAGAAAAATCAATTATAGGTTTCTGTATCAAGCTGAAGAGAGCTCTTATTTCTTATAAAACAAAGAAACAATCAAGATTATCTCTTTCCTTAGTAGAAGCCTAATATAGAGCCATGGGGAAAACAACATGTGAGATCATCTGGATTCTAGGGTTATTGGAAGATCTAGAAGTACAAATAAGAAAACTTGTTCTTTTATACTATGACAATAAGACTACAAATGACATAGCAGCAAATCCAGTATTCCATGAAAGAATGAAACATATAGAAATTGGTTGTGACTTTATCAGGAGCAAAATATAAGAAGGGATAATTAAGACTTTACACATTCGTACTTCAGAACAACCAGCAGACATCTTCACAAAGCCATTATGCAGCAAACAACATTCATATCTACTTAGCAAGCTTAGAGTTTTTGATATCTACAAACCACAAGCTTGAGGGAGAGTGACGAAATATGGAATTCAATACATTTATTATTTATTTCCCTTGATCTCTGCTAGCTAAGATTAAGGAGCGATTAAGGCTTCAATCAATCACCTTAATTTATGTGATTGATTGAATTACATGGATTTGTATTTCTTTCTTTCCTATTTTACATTTACAAAACTTGTATAAATTAGCCATTGCACAGGCTTACAATACAATATATACATAAAATTTTCTCTCTTCTTTTCTTTCTCTTTGGCATACTCTGGCAGTATCATTGGCTTGCACTGCTCCTCTTTGCCTCTCTTTCTCGGTTACTTACATAGACAAGTCAAGAAAACATACGTACATGTTTCAATTTTCCAATTGAATTTGGTAACTTCTTAATACTTGAACTCTTCAAATCTAATGTGCGCAAGATCTAAAACCTGATAATATTTTATAATAATTGGACCTATTCAACTCATTTATGACATGTAAATTATCTAACAATAAAAATGTTCTCATATGACTAACTCTGACTAACTCTAAGCAGTGTTGTTAGAATATCACATAATGGCTCTAATTGGGAATCAAATGAAATGTGACGAGCTCTAACGTCAAAAGTTGTTGAATCCAATTTGGCCAACATACTATCAGTTTTGGCAACTATGTTGCAAGGTCATGCATGACATCATGTATCTTGCATTGGTACTTCCTTTCCATTCATCCAATTTTACATTGTGAAGAAATGACCGAGAAACTAAAATGCTCATTAGCAACATCTTCTAGACATAGATTTGTGTTTGATGGCTGAAGAAATCCTTGCGCCATCCAAAGTTTAATCAATGACTCTTTGTCAATCTCATAATCTTTGGGAAACAATGCACAATAAGCGAAAAATTGTTTCAAGTGTGA